CCGCCCCCCCCTGCCGCCATTTCCATTTCAACGGGCACTGCCTGCCCTCCTGCCCGCCCCGCACCTACGAGTACGAGGGCTGGCGCTGCGTCACCGCCGAGTACTGCGCCAGCCTCCGCAAGGTCTCCGACAACCCCCGCGACGCCTCCAAGTTTGTCATCCACCAGCGGCAGTGCCTCTCCGAGTGCCCCTCGGGCTACACCAGGAATGAGAGCAGGTAGAGGGGTCCCCGGTGTCCACTGGCATGGGCACAGTGGTGGCGTGGTGCCTGGCTCACGTCCCATCACCGTCCTCCTGCCCACAGCATCTTCTGCCACAAGTGCGAGGGGCTGTGCCCCAAGGAGTGCAAGGTGGGCACCAAGACCATCGATTCGACGCGGGCGGCGCAGGAGCTGGGGGGCTGCACCCTCGTCGAGGGCAACCTCATCGTCAACATCCGCCGGGGCTGTGAGTGCCGGATCCGGCCCCCTGCAACCCGCCTGGGTGGGAGAGCTGCCACGGGGTGCGGGGGGTGAGGGAGGGGGGTCTTTTCCCTTGCAGGGTGAATTAATGGGGGGGTGCCCCCCTCTCCGAGCTCACATCCGTGGGTTGCCCCCAGATAACCTGGCCTCAGAGCTGCAGAGCAGCCTGGGGCTCATCGAGACCATCACGGGCTTCCTGAAGATCAAGCACTCCTTCGCTCTCGTCTCCTTGTCCTTCTTCAAGAACCTCAAGCTGATCCGCGGCGACTCCATGGTGGACGGGTGAGGACAAGGTGTGGGTTTGGAGGGGACACACGTGGCTTTGGGGGTGCCTGTGCCCACCGCCTCTGTCCACGTCTCCTCCTCCAGGAACTACACCCTGTATGTCCTGGACAACCAGAACCTGCAGCAGCTCTGGGACTGGAGCCACCATGTCCTCTCCATCCCTGTGGGCAAGATGTACTTTGCCTTCAACCCCAAGCTGTGTCTGGCTGAGATCTACCGCATGGAGGAGGTGACAGGCACCAAGGGGCGGCAGAACAAGGCGGAGATCAACCCCCGCACCAACGGGGACCGGGCGTCCTGTGAGTACAGGGACGGGGACACCCGGCAGTGCCGCGACTGCCTTGCCCGAACCCTGCCACCCCTCCACAGGCAAGACCCAGACCCTGCGCTTCATCTCCAACATCACCGAGTCCGACCGCATCTTCCTCAAGTGGGAGCGGTACCGGCCCCCCGAGTACCGGGACCTCCTCAGCTTCATCGTCTACTACAAGGAGTCGTAAGTGGTCCCTGTCCCCAACTTGTCCCCATCATGGAGGGCTTGGGGACCCCAACCCGTGGTCTCCTTGTGGGCTGCTGGACCCCAGGGGGGTCCTGCGGCTGGAGGGGGTCCCGGGACCCTCCCCGATGCCCGGCGTGGGGCAGACCCTTCCAGAACGTGTCGGAGTACGTGGGGCAGGATGCCTGCGGGGCGCAGAGCTGGAACGTGCTGGACGTGGAGCTGCCGCTCAGCAGCGAGCAGGCACCGGGGGTGGCCCTGCTCAACCTCCGCCCCTGGACCCAATACGCCATCTTCGTCCGCGCCATCACCCTCACCACCGCCGAGGAAGGACGCAACTACGGGGCGCAGAGTGAGGTGGTCTACATCCGCACCATGCCGGCGGGTAAGGGGCTGGGGAGGGGGCCAGGGATGCCCGTGGTGGCCCCTCAGAGATGGACTGACCCTCCTGTGTCCACCCAGCCCCGACAGTGCCCCGGGACGTCATCTCCATGTCCAACTCCTCCTCCCACATCGTGGTGCGTTGGAAGCCGCCCACGCAGCGCAATGGCAACATCACCTACTACCTGGTGCTGTGGCAGCAGCTGGCCGAGGACATGGAGCTCTATGTCAACGACTACTGCCACAAAGGTGAGGGCAGGCAGGGCAGGCAGGGCTGCCGGGCAGGGGCAGCACAGGCAGGTTGGGTGCAGCGGCCGAGGACACCGGCGGGATGAGGATGGTGCCACCAAGCCGGGCTCCGGCAGCGCTGCCACCCCTCCCCGTCTCTGCCCGCAGGTCTGAAGCTGCCCACCAGCAGCGCGGACACCCGCTTCGGGGACGGGGACGGCCCCGAGGTGGAGCAGGACGCAGAGGAGCGGTGCTGCCCCTGCCGTCCCACCGATGGGCAGCTCCGCATGGAGGGTGAAGCCGAGTCCTTCCAGAAGAAGTTTGAGAACTTCCTCCACAACTCCATCATCATCCCCAGGTGCCGTCTGGGGGGGGTCCCCATGTCAGGGGGGTCCCCCAGGCTGGATGCGTGGGTCTGCCCTGGGTGGGGGGTCCGGTGGCTGCTCCTGGCAGATCCTTTAACTGATTTCTCGCTGTCTCAGGCCACCCTGGAAGGTGACATCCATCAACAAGAACCCACAGAGGTGAGCGGAGACCACACAAGCCTGGAGGATCTCCCCTCTCCTTCTCGATTTTGGGGGACAACCCAGGCATCCTGGCTCCCCACCGCCTCCTGTCCCCATCTCCCGCAGGACCCCGAAGCGGCGCAGGGACGTGGTGGCTGTCACATCCCCGGCCAACGCCTCCTCGGCAGAGCCGCCGGCCCCGAGCCGCGCTGGGGGCGAGCCCAAACCCGACTTCCAGATCTTCGAGGACAAGGTGGTGCGCGACCGTGCGGTGCTGTCGCGGCTACGGCACTTCACCGAGTACCGCATCGACATCCACGCCTGCAACCACGCCGCGCACACCGTGGGCTGCAGTGCTGCCACCTTCGTCTTCGCCAGGACCATGCCGGAGCGTACGTCCCGGCAGCGTCCCCCCTCCCAAACCCTGCCTCGGCGATGCCGGGATGCTCTGTGGTCCTGGCGCCTTCAAGATGGGGAGATTGGGTTGGGATCTGGGTGATGCCCCCAGGATCTGACCCTCTCCGTACCCCTCTCTAGTGCAAGCCGACAACATTCCCGGCAACGTCACGTGGGAGCCGGCCGGCAAGAACAGTGTCCTGCTGCGCTGGGAAGAGCCCAGGAACCCCAACGGGCTCATCCTCAAGTATGAGATCAAGTACAGCCGTGAGAGCGAGGTGAGGACCCCCTGGAGCCCTCCCTGCCCGGCCCGGCCAGGTCTGGTTATGGGGGCACAGCACCCATCCCCATCCCCGTCCCCATCTCATCTCATCCCCATCCCCATCCCCATCTCATCTCATCCCATCCCCATCTCATCCCATCCCCTTCCCCATCCATCTCATCCCATCCCCATCCCCATCCCCATCCCCATCCCA